TTTGACCCCTCAGGACCCGGAATTTGGACGCCTTGACGCAAGATTTTTGGTGAACTCGACCCCTCCAAGCCCCAACTTGGACCCCTCAGGACCCAGAATTTGGACGTCTTGACGCAAGATTTTTGGCGAACTTGACCCCTCCAAGCCCCAACTTTGACCCCTCAGGACCCGGAAATTGGACGCCTTGACGCAAGATTTTTGGCGAACTTGACCCCTCCAAGCCCCAACTTTGACCCCTCAGGACCCGGAAATTGGACGCCTTGACGCAAGATTTTTGCCAACTTTGACCCCTCAGGACCCGGAAATTGGACGCCTTGACGCAAGATTTTTGGCGAACTTGACCCCTCCAAGCCCCAACTTGGACCCCTCAGGACCCAGAATTTGGACGCCTTGACGCAAGATTTTTGATGAACTTGACCCCCCCAAGCCCCAACTTTGAGCCCTCAGGACCCGGGTTTAGATAGGTTTTGACCCGAATCTACAAAACACATATTATGCATACCAAGGGCTTTTCAAGTTATGTGAATGTTAATTGAGCCTTGCACGGAGTAAGAACATGATTCTTGCAAAAAGCTTCAGGCAAATGAAGGACTCATTGTCATTAATTGGCTCTCCCCAAAAACTAACCTGGAAAATAGATGAAGCTAGCATCCTGCCCAACAGAGCAGTCATGAGCAGTCTCTGTAATTCTGGTCTTCGATGGTCTTTTCAGGCTGTCCACATGGGAAGAAAAGAAAAAGACTCCCCCGTGGCCGGTGGCTCTCTCTGCCGCCTTTCGGAGGAATGGCCGTTGAAGTGGGCCTGAAGCCGGTGACCTCAATGGCCGACCCAGGCTCGGTGGGCTCGGTGGGCTCGGTTTTTCCCATCGGGCTTCCGCTTCCGAAGGCGCAGGCACCACGCCGTGGGATGATTGGAATATATTGGAATCAGGATCTCGTCCGACTGGATCCGTGGTATGAGGAGCATCTCATGTCATCGCACTGCCGGTACATGATGTTGCATATTGCATGCACCACTAGGAGCAGCCACCTCATGTCTGAAGATACGGTTTTTCAGCTGGGTTCCTCAGTTGAGTCCTCCGGGAGAATACGGCAGTCCCTCAGATGCCCTCAGTGCCCCTGTGTCACCATGTCTCGTCAAGCAAAGCCCTCCTATCAGAAGCATCAACATCATCACAATCACTATCTCAACCGGCAACAGTGGATGATGGTGGCTTGTCTTTTGGTCTTTATTATCATATAGATGATCATCCATGATCATCCTTTCCTCTGCATTGCGGACACCGCACGTCTGTTTTACGGCAACATCGCTCCTCTCATCCTGAGTGGGCGACTCATACTGCACCCCGTGATGAAGCCTCACAGCCGCATCACTCAGAGAAACGGACGAACAGGGAGACCCTCACCAATGGCTTGTGTCAATATGTCTTGGGGGGATCCACATCTGCAGGTTCTTGAGCCACAAGGTTGATTGGCCTCGAACTACTGCTGAAGCTCTCAATGTATTGTCACACTTGGCCAATGGGCCAATGGGTACGGAAAATCATGTTGATACACAACTTATCTGGCCATGAGTGTACTTTGGGCTTTTTCCCAACCAGGCAAGAACTGATGAAATAGTTTGAACTGTTTTGGAATAAGATTTACAAATGTTTACAGTAATACAGACTTCCATCCCCACCCCAAACAAGTCCTTAACAAAGGGATGGACTTGGCCGTGGGTGGTTGAGGGAATAGCACCAACGGTCACCAACATGCTCTTCGAATCACTAGTCGGTCGAGAGTCATGCTCTATGCAAGGTCTAGGAAAAGGAACAATCTACTGGAACAATTAGCTGGACATCGCTATTCACTATTAGGTTGGAGGCCATCGCTATTAGATTGGAGGCCATCGCTAACTCCTCATGAGAGCAAGCAACAACTCTCCTTCTCTGGGACATCTCGCCTGGATTCCTCTGCACGCTGACGCGATGGCGCCAATGCCCAGACCAAGATGGCAATGAGGACCTTTGCCACATGCAACGTCTCACGCCGAGTCAGACTACAGTGTCTCATCTTTTTGATTATGAGGACTCTTATGCACCCTTCACACAATCTCAGCAGCTAAAGAACAACGTGTTTTCATCAAGCCAAACATACCAGTAGTTGTTTGTACCAAGAGTCAAACATGAAAGGGGTGCTTTCTACTAATATAGACTGACGATAGAATCATGCCTCGCAAGCAACATGATCGCAACATACGCAACACTCTGGGCATCATATACATGCATATACAGACATGCATAACGATGGCAAAGGCCTTCGCCTACTTGATCCAAAGCCGGATGCCTCTGCCCCACCCAACCCTCTTCCCATGAGGTTCCTGATCTTCCCAAGTTGACAAGACAAGGACAAAAATGGTCATGACTCCAACCCACAGCTCGATTTGATATGATTTGAGCAATCACTTTGACCATTTGTAAATATATTTGTCCACCTGAAAATTTGTTGAAACTGCCCCAAATGGCAAACGGTTGACAACTGACCGGTTAGGATAAGAATGATGAGAGTGAACATGAGTGAACCATAGCCTTTATTCATGGTATCGCCGATGACAGCGAGGTTGGTGCAGGTGGTGCTAATGCAAACGGTGAGGAAAAGAATACGCCTTTTGTATCAAACAGTTCAGCAAGCGATCAAGGTGATGATCACTCATAAATAGTTCCCCTTGCTGGATGGTCAAACATCTGCCTAATACAAGGGTCTTCATTCCTAAGCAGTAACAACAACTCTACCGCCGCAACGGAATTACTGGCCCGGCCAGTCAGGTTGGTCAGGCTGAAGTTCCGCGCCAGCAAGGCACAGGCCGTGACGGGGCCGTTGTTCACGGGGCCCGTGATGAAAAAGATGGGGAAGAAGTACATCGCCTCAGTCAAAGCGGGACAGAGTGGAGGTGTAGCAAACCCAAGCACTCCATGTATGGAATATACATGCCTACATGGACCCCTGGCAAATGCGCCAGTCCCATGGAGTGTCAGGGGAAAAGGAAGCGAGACCTCACAAATTGTGGCTAGATAGAGAACACTCCCATCCTCTCCTCTCCCAGTTTTCAAGTCTTTTCAATGGAAGCAAACAAAGGCAAAAACCTCTTCCTGGAGCCATTGCCAAGTCCCGTCATGCTTAATGCGTTTAAAACATGGCCTGACCTGAGTTGTCATCAGGGGAGGTTCAGCTGGTTTACTCCACAGGGATCCAAAGGGCTCTGGTCTCTAGTATCATAGTCATAGCCCTGTCCATTCTGGAGGGGGGGGTCTTGAGAGTCATTTTATAGACATGAAATGGTGGTCCCAACCTGCAGGGCAGCCTAAATCAGAGAACCTGAGATAAATTGGAAAGTCCTAGAATGACCTTACCTGAGGTCATTTTCCAAGCATGAGTGCACCAGTAAATATTTTTTTTGAGCGCTCAGATTCTCTGTCTAAGTTTCTCTAAGTCTAGTGTCAGACTTAGTAACACCAGCATCCCAAAAGCTTCCAGGAAAATCAGATTTCATCGTTGAATATTCATTAATGTTCCAACACAAAAGTTACATGGCCACATCGTCAAACGTTTTGAATAGCAGCATTCAACAGCCAAAGCGGAAGCAGGGATAGGACCACGTGGCTCCTAGTTATTTTTAGTTTTCATATATGTTTTCAATTGTTTTCATACATGTTGGCAACAACGCTTTTTGCTCATCTCACATTCATGCCACATCATGGTGCTTGCAACAGCAAAAGCAACATCCAGCTCTTCCTCACACACATACACACACAATTCAATTCTCTATAAAATGATGTCCTGACCCCCTAGTAGGGGGTGGCGGTTCCAAAACTTTTTATATGGGCCTGACCCCCCCGCATTTCATAGAGGAAATGGTCAGGGGCATCTAGTATCTGACTGAGAGAGCGCCAGCAGCGCATGCGGTTCGACCCCCGCGGAGACCCCCCGGAGCATCGATCTTGGACCCCCCTAAGAGCATCACGAACGATTTGGATCTTCGTTTCGAGACGTCTTTTTTGTCGGTTCTCTCATGCCTATTGGTGAAACACCACATGTCTTCTGATTTGAGGAATGAGGTGGAATGAGGTGGACCCAAATCCCTCACGGTTCCCGCAGAATGGGATCTTGCTACAGGGATGGCACTCTGCCCATCTCGAGACCCCAGCTACGAATCGGCCCGGATGCGGGACCGGCTCGGCGCGCGGAGCACGGGTCGACCATCGGAAGACCGGACAAATCGCTGGCTGGTCCAAGTTGGAAGGTCCATGGACCACTGAGTGATATGGACCATTTCTTGGCTCCAACGATGGCCACCCACCACCCTTCGGACTCCAAAAAACCCGCCCCTATAGGTGCAGAACCCCTCCAAGGTCACGACTGAGGCCGAGAGCATATGACCCACATTCTTTGCAAAGGCCGAACACTCTTTGACCTCGCCACGGCCAGCTTTCGACCCGTCTTCGAAGTTCAGTGCCGATTGGATCGAGGTCCACCGGCGGGGGGGGGGGGCAGCCTGTGAAGAGTCCCTGGCAAGGATGGCAACGCCCCCACCATTTTTTGGGGGGGTCACGAGCGTGGAAAAAAACAGAAGATAAAGTACGTACGATTTGGTTTCGCCACCGCCCCAAAAGCCCTAAGCGAAAAAAAGGAAACTGCCTGGGTAAAACAGGTAATATGGACTACACCAACTACAGTTCTAACCAACAGTCTAACCAACTACAGTTCAGTGGCAAGTCCAGGTCCAGGTCCCAAGGTTTCGAAAGTCTGCAAGACACCGTGCGTGACTGCCGACTCAAACGGGTGCAATGGCCAGAGTTCTGTTTCCAGTTAAAATGAACCAAAGGAACATGATCTTTATATAAATCTTTAGCAACTTTAGCATGTGAGCAGGTATGTCATCAGGCGTCCCTGCTGATCTCCTAGAGAGCATGTTGTACGGAGCTTCGTTGTATGGAGCTTCGTTTTATGTCCTCTCCATCCCCCAAGAGTGAAAAAGTCTGAAAAGGGTAAACCCTCAAGTCGATGCTTGAAGCCAAGTACGGCTCTCCCAAGTCGACTCCAAGGGTTACAGGGTTAGAGAGAGAGAGAGAGCGGGGGGAGGGGCCCTGTTTCTATCCCCACCCTGTAGGGGTGTTCCTCCGATCGAGGAGCCTGGATTCGATGAATCCTGCAATTGAGGAGATGTGAACATGTCTGGAAAACCGAGGCTTGGTGGAAGAGGCCGATGGCGGCCAATCACTTGGTACTGGCTCTGGCACTATATGTAGTACTGGCTCTTTTGACCTCCAGAATCGGAGTTCGAGTGGCTTCACATCGTTCGATTTCACTATATTCACTTCCACTTGCTGGTGATATATATATATATATACATATTCATTTCACAATATTCACTTCTTTATATTTCCTGTCTGGTGAAAGCTCAATCACCCAGATGGTTCTTACTTCCACTAGGGCCCCGCACCAAAAGCCCGGCCATCCAGCCGTGCAAGGTCCAGACCTCGCCGTCGGCCGGTGAAGCATTTGGAGAACTTTCGTCACCCAACCATGTGGTGAAGCGATCCCCATGATCAACATGCTAAATAAATAAAGAATCATATTATATAATAGTATATATTATAATATAATATAATATAATATACATATAAGTATACATATATTATAACAAAGCTCCCTCGCCAACTGGCGACTAATTGGAGCGTTGTTGGCCTGCTGGCAAAGAAATATAATGTAATATATAACCACGTCAGAACATGCCAAATCCCAAGCAAAGCAAGTCAACCAATCCTCGCACGATCTCCGAAACTTCCAAATTCATCCAGCCTCAAACATGACAAGCTGCCCGCTGCCACACAGCTTGGGGGTGAAAACAAGATCTGATATAGTGTGCTTCCATTGGCTCTCGTGGGAAGCCCTTACGGTACGGTGTTCTACAAACATATTAAAGTGCTTGTCAAGCAACAACCACCACCAAGATGTTGCGATAGTCCGCCACCTGCAGGAGCGGGGCTTTGAAGAGAACCGATGACATACAAAAACACAGGCAAAGTGAGTCAATGACGAGTCGTTGAATCCAGGAAACGTGTGATATGCAGAGTACCACCAAAAGCCTGACACAACATATCCCTGGATGTGTGTCTGAATAAGGTCTCGGTCAAAACCTGGAGCTTCAAAACGACCCGTTGACCTGGTCCATTCGGTTCAACCGGTCGGTCTCCCAGTCTTGACCTCAAGCCAAATACTATACCAGCACCACCCATTTCGGGTGGTTATTGGATAGAAAATACATCTTCAGGGGGGTCTATAAACCACCCGCAACGGGTGGTGCTGGTATGGGCAGTTTCTTGAAACAAGCTGTATTCTTGACACAAATTCTGTAGTGTGAGTTTGTTCCCGCACAGTGCTTCTAGCGACACAACGCTCATCCTGTCATCTTCCAAGAAACGGCCTCCGGTTCAACCCACACCGCCTCCGTTTGCAGGAAAACATCTCAAAGAAGCCCAACGTTTTGCAGAGACAATCCCCAAGCACTCCATGGCACTGGTACTGGTATATATACAGGTAGGTAGATCTATATTTTACTGTACCTACATTGACTCCAACAAAAGAACCACCCACGTCAACTGGTAGGTCGTCCACGTGAACTTGTCGCAGGCTCCCACCTGATCAAAGCTACAGTTTTCCATCACTCCTGGCCGCCCGGGGCGTCGCGTCGGGGCGGCGTCGCGTCGGGACCTCGCCACGCACGTACACGTCGCACGCTGTCAGGCTGTGTTCGAAGCCGACTTCGCACGCCGCGGGGGACGGTTTTTGGGGTGCGGAGATTTTTGGGGGAACGTGTTTTTTCTCTTTCTCTCCCTCCCTCTCTCTCCCTCTCTCTCTCCCTCCCTCTCTCTCCCTGTCTCTCCCTCTCTCTCCCTCTCTCTCTCTCTCTCCGGAGACAAGTCGACCTATGCACGCGCCCCCTTTTCAGATCGCTCCCAAAACCGGATTGCTTCGAGTCATCGACCAAGGGACGATGACTAAGTGGGGGGAGAATCGGAGCTGCTGCTGGGGGAGAAGGTGGACAAACCGAAGACCCTTCTCCGTCTTCATGACGTAGTTGTTGAATGTTGTTGATGTGTCCCGTTTGCACCTCAATTCCAGTGGTTGATGGTGAAGGAGATGCTGGACTGGACATTTGTCAACACAGTGGCACCCACTACCCACTGTTCTTTTATATAGCAGGGGCATCCAGCTGAATTCCCGACCGGGCCCCTGGTCCCTCGGGTTTCCTTTAAGCCGCCACCGCTGATGGCGCCCTCCCCAACTTGCAAAATACTCGCTGTCGGAGCAGTACGACAAGCAAGATTTGGAGGTCCCAAGCACGCCATGAAAAAAACGTGTTTGTTGCTGATCTGTGCGACGGATTGAACATCCAGCAGTGGTTGTCTCATGTTTTCTCGCATGTCAAATGCAGAAAAGGTTGTCCATCAAGTCCATCAAGAGTATCTTGTTGGCACACAAACCATGAGTTCAGTCGAAAACCAGCAAGCAACCATGTCAAGTCTGAAAGAAGACAGCACGACGGACCGAAGACTCTGACTTTCACGAGGTTCGGAGATGTTTGCTGCCGGTTTTGGAGGACCAGGCCAGTCACCCCCAATCCTCGAGCCCACGGGCCGCTGGGTAATGTAGACCCTTGAAATTGATGAGCCCCCGTGGGGATTAAAAAACCTCTTATGATGAGCAGCTTTATCTTCTTCAACCAGCACCACCCATTTCGGGTGGTTATTGGATAGAAAATACATCTTCAGGGAGGTCTATAAACCTTGCCTTGTGGGTGCTGGAAGAGTCTACAAGAGCAAATCGTCAAACCTTGCCTCACCCCACCTCCATGATCCAGCGATGCGTGCCGGAACCCACGTCGGCCCGACAGCAACAAGACACCACGTACTTGGCTCCTTGGGAATCGGCCAGGCTGTGAAGATAAATGGCCGTCAAGAGGAAGGAGGTCAACAACTCCCCCAGCATGATGTTGGTCCTTGGCAAGTGGTGAACGGAAAACTTTAAAAAATAAACGTGGTCGCTCCGTTTCAAGGGGAACTCCCCGTGGTTTTCCAGGGGATTGATGTTTAGACCTGGCTCCGTGGTCGCTCCCTCCAGGCGATGGCGTCACGGGTTTGGCTTCGCTCCCAGCTGATGTGGTGCCACTGGGCCCCTCTGAAGCGGACTTGGCCCGGAAATTCTTTGGGCAACATGGCTTTCAACTCCTCCACGCGCCAAACGGGACAGCACAGCAAAAGGATGCACTGCTGTAGCCCAAATTACTATATATAGTATATAATTCACAGCCGCTCTCCTTGTTCTCTTGGCCATATGGTATGCGCTGATTCGGCTGAAAAGGATCGGAACGAGCACCATCTTTGGTGTATTCTTGCGCTGACATATGTCCACATGTTCTTTCCGAAGGTGATCTACAGCCTCAAATGCATTTCTTCCCAGGCGGCCGTCAGCAAAGCCGGTACTCCCTGCGGCCCTCCTTGTAGCGGCCGCAGAGTACACACTGGACCTCTCTTCCTTTTTAGTCACTACTGATCCAAATATGGACTACCGACAAAATCAACACATGTTGATGCCTTGAGGCAAAGATGGTTCAACTTCTCCAAAGACCCAGGATGATAGTTGATCAAACATCATGATTGATAGAAGGGGATCGGGGACTCGCATACTAATTATATGGTATCGTCATTGTCATGTGTCTTGGCATGATATGCAGCTCCCCCCGTCTATCTCTGTTGGTCCAGGATGTGAGCTATGTTGTGATTGATGTTGTTGGAAAACATGATTTGGACATTCCTATGTTGTAAATGTGGAGGACTATTGGGGTATGTCGGTATGTCAATTCGATGTTGTGAGTGATCTGCGTGAAGAACGGCTTTGGAAATGTCTACGTTGTGGTGAATGCAGCCTGTGTTAATTGATATTCATCTTAAACATACTATTAAATAGGCTTGGACTATTCATCTTCACCAAGCACTTGACCATTCCAATTCATTCGTTGCTTTTGGACAAATCTTTGGGCGCCCCCCCGCTTTTGAATGTAGAAGGCCACACGATCGCCGCGGGTCAAACACCTGCGGGTCGCCGCTGTGGCAGTCGAGCGGTGGACGAGGGTGTCCCGACCAGCAATCTGGATCACTATGGGGTGATCTGACCCCTATCAAGACGTAATTATTCCCTAATCATCCAAGTACCTTCTCAGGAGGTGATTGGAGACACTCCTATGTAGGTTTTCAGGGTCCAAGTGCCTTCTGAGAAGGTACTTGGATCCCTAGGGATTGTGTATAGATCTATCTGACTTCGATTATTAGGGTGACGCAGCTTTCAAACATCCAAGATCGGAGAAGCTTTCATGACTGACTTCCAGCTTGCGTTTGGGCTTCTACAGGCCAAAAAGGAGCTGGCTTCCGCCATGTGTTGTTCAAGACAGCTTTCCGGAGTGATTCGGCGGCGTGTTTCCCAAACGTGCTCATATGTTACCAGCACCTTCCTTACGGGGTCACCTGGCTGGAAGCCCCTGCACTACTGATGGATCTCCATTGGACACCCCTTGGAAGGTCCAGGTAGGTATATAGATATCTCAATATATAGTATAGGTATAGGATAGGTATAGGGAATGACATATCATATAAAATATAAATTAGTTACTATATATAATCAAATATATGTATATATATTAATAATGAATTATGTATATTATGCGTCTGCAAAAAGGACCTGTTCTTCCACGCTAATTGGTGTGAGCAAGCTTCCACGACGGCAGAACCTTTGGCTTCCACGGCGGAGTTGACAAGTTTGGTTAGCTTGTTCGAGAGAGGTTCTTGCCGGGTTGAGGATGGTTGAGGGACTTCCTTCATCAAGTCCAACTTCTTGGTAGATGGATCCTGCGACATCCTGCCTGCTACAGTCCTCTTCTCAACCAGGGTTCACAGGTGTATAGTTACATCTAGGCCGAAAACGGGTCCGTCTGAGGACAACGAGCACAAGGAAACAGCTGTGTCACAAGAGGAATCGGACAATCCCCGACGGATGCGAGTTCCAGGTTGCAAGTGCATCCCGGTTAGGAGACGCAACCTGGACATTCAAACATCCATGGTTAGAAACCTGGTTTGAATCGGTTTCAATCGATGCGAGTTTCGCGAACCGTAACTGCTCGACACGATCGAGTCAGCCATCTCGGACAGGACTCCAAGCGATGTGCGACGATGTGCGAGCATCCAGCGTTTCCTGGGGTTTGCAGTGATCCAAATAGCTGTTACTTGAGTTCCGCTAATTTAAACATCTGAGATTCTAATTTAACATTTGTTTTTTACAAAGTATTGTTTTTTGCGTCTAGTTTAACATTGGTTTTTGCGTCTTTCCAACAATTGCTCGTGTTACCTGCGACCACTGTTACAACGTGTTACCTCGTTCCACCAGTCGGTCGCCCGTATGGGGATGGTCGCCCGTCCGCCTCTCGGCAAGGATGGAGGCTGAGCACGAAAGGAAAATGCCTTGCAATGACGAATCTCAACCAAAGACTCCTCATGCAGGAGTCTTGACACAAAGATACTTCAAAGCATACAAAAAGCATTCTATAGCCGAATCCAGGTACCTTGAAAGCGAACAAGCTTTGGTTCGGGTCCAACCCCCCCTGCAAAAAGCAGTCAGGGTCGATCCAGTTCGGAGAACCTCTGATCCCTGCGCCCCTGCCGTGTGCAGTCTCGGTATCGACGGACGGTCGTGAAGAACGGGTCGTGAAAAGGTCGAAAATAGACACATCATGTTGCATGCTAGTAGGAACAAGTGCATCGCTTCTAGTAACAAGTGCCTTACTAGTAGTAACAATAGCTAGTATTATAATTTAATTTTGCATGCTATATGTGCATGCCATCTTCACAGAAGATGACTGAAGCAGATTCTTGGGAACCGGGGTCTCCCGCAACCGGCCGCACAAATGTTGGATGTTCAGCATCAGGCTCCATCCGATATGGGAAAAATGCATCACGTTCAGCCTGGACACCAAAGAAAAGGAAGAACCACAAATATGAAGGAATTCAACACCGTATCACTAGACGTTTCCAATTGAATCTTGCACCCTGGAACGCTGTTTGCTGTTCCTTTTCCCAGCACCCAAACTATCAGCCGTGCCAGTGCCAGCTTGTTTGCATGCACTATCAAGCGCGCGCCAAAGCACTTGAAAGGAGGCTCAGCACCCCCAAGTTCGGCCGAAGAAAATGCCCTTCACGACTCCAGTAGGGTGGCCTCAAGCGACTGAGGAGCAACGAGCTGAGGGAGCACGAGCACACTCACCCACCCTCTCCACCCATCTCCAGCGACTGACTGAATTTGGATGGGCATGGATGGGCTGAAACCCCGGAGCTCAGGGCGAATGGGTGAAGCGGAGCGTTTTAATTTTCATCAAGAACATCACCAAGAGGACCCAGCTCCTGTCTCAAGTATCCTGGAACTCAAATGCCAAGCATTACTGTCACCCCCAACTTCTTGTGTCAAAAGAGCCAGTTCTGTATCATCAGTGAGTGAATCATAATATACATTATTCAAACAACCTTGCTTCTCCCTGATTCAGTGATGTGCTTGCTTTCCAACCTCTCAAAGCTCTCTAGGCGTCCCGGCCGGAAGTAGAGCAGTCGAACCTTTCCCCGAGACCGGTCCCCCGGAAGGAGTCGATCGTGGCTCGCGACAACGGCTTTTGGTCTCGTTTTGCTGCGACACATCTGCCATTGATTGTGCATGATGGTCAATGATGGTTGACAAAAAGCTTCCGCCACCAAACCAGCATGGAAAACTCCATTCATTGGTTGTATGAGCGGTCATCCCTGCCCTGTGACCCAGTACAGTAGACTCCCGTGCTCTCTCCCACCGCAGCCGGCGCCTGTGCGAAGGCCGCAACAGCCTCGGGACTGGCAAGTGGATCGAGCGAAGTTATTGAGATCAAAAACTCCTAACACAGGGTTGAAAGAGAGTGCAACGGCCTAAAACCTGTCGAGGCCTGCAACGGCCTACAAACACCTCCACCAGCATGCAAAACTGGCGGCTCACAGTAAAAGAATGCTGTCTGGCAGAACCAGCAGCACACACCAAACGAGCATATGGTTTTGCAAACCTGTCATAGCCGCATTGAGGTTAAATGCGATCTACCAAAATGTAACATGGAGTAGGTGTTCCGCGTGAAAGCATGTCATGATTCATTATAGTAAGCTAGTTTCTGCAAAAATCTTTCGTTTTGCTGCCTCTTGTTTCTGCGTTCCTCGACCATGACTGCAGTCAGTTGCTCCATTCTCCAGCCACCGAACTGGATCCTATTTTTTTTGATTTCATGGTAGGGCAGGAAATAGGAATACTGTGCTCAGATTTCGTGGTGCGGGAGGGGTGTTGGGGGAAGGGCGCAGCGCCTCCCCCACGGCAGCGAACAACCAACGACAACAACAACAGTAGTAACACTGCCAGGAAGTGCAAGAGAAGATGGTTTGAAGAATTCATTTCTGGGTTAGCAAGGTGTGTTTGTGAGTTCGAAAAGAAAGCTCATGGGCCGGTTAAAAACGGGCTCGTGGGCTACGAACATGTCCTTCGGCTCAAAAAGCAAAGCCCCACAAGTAGCATTAAACAATAATGGTTTGTTTTGTTCCTGGAATTGACCCATGGGACACCCCGTGGGTTGTTTTTGCAAGTGTTTTAACACAATACCCTTTTCTAAATCCAAGTTCAAAAGGTTTGCCTTCCGTCCTTCCTTCCTTGCTCCCTCCTTCCTTCCTAACATCTGTATTGATCCCGATAATGATTTGTTTTTGATCCTGATCATAATTATTTGATACCCGTGCAGGACGGCGGTATCAAAAGGGCGGGTGACCCATCTTCTTTGCCCTATCGCTTCCAAATGGGATCGACTCCGAAGACGCAGGGGGGTTGGACCCGAACCAAAGCTTCACCTTGATAGAGTGAGAAGTCGGTCCTTTTTCGGACCAACATGCCCATGCTCCGATCATCAAGCTGTGTGCCAAAATGGGATTCAAACATGCCCCACCCGAAATTGCACATCCCCCACTGCCACCACCCCCCAGAACAACTGATCAGCTTGTTTCATTTTTTGTGTCTTTGAGTCTTTGATGTGAAAACACTCGTTTTGTAAGCGCATTGCAAAAACACACGTGGCTTGTGTGCAGCCAAGGGTTTGTGTTCTTGGAGTGAAACGATGAGCAGCTTACTGTCAGTGCAGCTCAACAGACTACTGTATTAAAACATATGGTACTGTACCTACTACCTTCTGTACACCTATGTGCAGCTAACCATCAGCCCTCTGCAACATAGCCTCTGGAGACCACTGGGAAGGTTACAGCGCTCGAAGCTTTGCTGAAAGCCAGTGCCTATGTTCAAGCTCCGCAGGGACTTTGGGAAGACCAGGCCTTCCAAGCTGTGATTGAAGCGATTGCCAATGTTCAAGCTTTGGAGAGAGTCGGGTAGCCTGACCTGAGCAACCATGAAGTCACATGAAATCAGATGTTTCTGCTTTTATTGGTACTGCTGCAAATCCAAGAACCCATTCATTGGCATGTTTCTCAGGGGGAAGAAAAAGAGGGTTCCACAAAGACACACTGGTCGACTTTCTGTTCCCAAACACCTCAAATCTCCCGTTCGCTTTGACGCAAAACACCAAAATGCATCGATCCCGTGCGGATCTATAGTACCTGGATGCTCATGGACCCTTCATGAGTCTGGGTCTCAAGTTCGCACTTGTTCGGGACCAGCTCGGGCGGTGTGTTTAGCGCAAACCTTTGTGACGTCCCGTCACGAGCTTTCGCCAAGCAACATGTTCCATGGCTTGATCAAAGGCGTTTCCCAGATTCAAGCAAAGGAGATTGGGCGGCAGGTCCACCCGATCAAGAGGATGATCAAATCCAATGATCAAGTTCAGTGTCTGCAAGTCACCTCAATTGATCCCCGAAGGACGTCGCAAACGTCGCAGCAAACGTCGCACGCGCGACGGAAGTTCGTCGTCCTGAGTGTGGACCTAATCCGTATCTCAGAAGGTAGGACCCTCCCAACCACCACCTTTAGAAGGCCATAACATATTAATATATTATACTATAATAACTTATACGGTATATATGATATAATGGATCTGCCAGGACTTTTCTCTGAGAAGCCACCTGAACATTCTGAACATGTATCAAATGTGAAGGAAAGCGATTTCCAGGGCAAGGCAAACGTACAGGTGGGTCGAAATCCCCCACATCTAACGTAATCGAACAAACCCCATCAAACAAATCCTCAGCTGGAATGAATCAAGCATCGATCCTTCTTCCAGGCTGCTTAGCTGGGCCCAGATGGGGTCTAAACCTAACAACCCGAACCGGGCCGACCAGAACGAGCCGACATGAGCCGACCCGTTCACGGTGCCGCGCTTCGGATTGAACGGGATGGCGGTCCTAACGGTGCGGATCAGCGGGGCGGAGGTGAAAAACCCAAGCCCAGCCACCTTGGTGTTGAAGAAAAAGCAACTCGGTCGAAGCGGAAGGGTTCCACTTGGGACACCACTTCTGGAAGTCTCACCACTTCACTTCCGGCTTTCGGAACGGCACCAAAACTCAAGTGCAGTTGGACTGGGAAAACGCTTCGAAGTCGGAAGACTATACCGACATACACGCCCCGGACACACATGATAGGCGAGTTCGAAACGCACTAGCAAGTCCGGAGTTCCCTTCCACCGCAGGAAGGCACCCGAGTGACGGGGAAAGTCCATGTTGCTGAACCTGTTGTTCACCGGAGAAGACAAGGTCAAGCTCTGAAGACCACTGGGCAAACGCATTCGATCCAAATCCAAGTCGAAGCCTGGAACGTCGAGGGCTCGGTGAAAATGGTGTCGTGCAGGAAAAGGATCGAACTCCATCATGGTCGATCTGTTTGAACCGTTTTTCACCGGCAGTGAAGGGGTAGACCCCAACCTGGCCGCGTGACCGAATGCTTTGGAGTGGACTCTGAGTGGACCGAATCTGTGGAGGTGCCCATGTGGAGAGAAAAAACATCACACACATCTCAGTCAGGGATCATTTGACTGGATTGTCACTCAAGTTTCCGGAGCCACGTCATGCGATCTTTCCCGTTTGAGTAGGAGGACTTGACTTGTTCATACATACTTCATGACATACTTCAAGACTTCAGGATGACCACCAGGTTCACCGTGTTGTCAACCAGGTTTCTTTGGCTGAAAAGCATGGAAAAGCCAACGTCCAACACGGTTCCAAGGGATCGACGCCCGACGCGAGAGCGAAGCAGCAGCGCAGCAGAGCCGCGGAAGCGCGAGGGATGTCAGGTGACATGCATCAAGACCGGGGTTTTTGAATGCATTTCACATTTTGAGTGTTTGAAATGCATCACTGGGGAAACCAAGGCTTTGGATTGATTTGTTTCGTCTGTACCGGTTTCACTCACACCTGGCCCATGCCGGTTTCGCAGTAAACTCATGCCTTGGTTTTTTCATGCGGTCGAACATGCTTCGCGACCCATCCCGCAAACGACGTAAACTCCTCTCAGCGACTGAGGCCCAACTGTAAATGTTGAAGGCTGGATGGAAAACGCACCCGATCCAGATTCTCATGAAAGCTCACCTGCCAGGTGAGCGGTTCTTCGATGTTCTTCACGCATGACCCATGCAGATCGTCGTTTTCTTGTCCAATGAACGTTGGGCGCATCGGGTCACACACGTTTCGTTGACCGGGAATCGCATGGGTTGGCCGTTTTGCCCAGGGAGAAACCAAACAAATCGACCTCAATCCAACAAAGATCCTATGTGCATATGTATGTTTTGTGATGTGTTCAAGATCATCTTTCAATTCCATGTTTGTTGGGAGTGTCGGGTCGCTTGCGTTCTCTTCCCAAGTCACTCCGAAGGTCAAGCTCTTCAGATCCAGCGGCAGCAGAATTCGATCCATTCGCCGGTTGAACATGTAACCTGGCAGTCTCGGTCGACCCGGACACGGTGACGGTACGGGCCAGTCGGTCGACCTGCCTAGAGTCGTAAGAACGCGGTGCCTGGCGTGACTGTGCGCAGAACTTGTGGATATTGCGCAGAACTTGTGTGCACTGGTGTAATGAAGGCCAGTGGATGCTATGCCTGTGGGTCTCCCAGGGCGTAGCATCCACTGGCCCTGGAGGCTCTTTGTTCCTTTTGACTTTACATTATCTTCACCTCTGTTCACCTCTCCAGCAAGGGGGTGTTGGATTTTCCATTCAATGCAAGTGGCCGAAGGTCAAGGTCTTCAGCTTTCGCGGAAGTTCCAGGCCATCGACACCTCAGTGTTGTTCACTGGTGTATTTGGAGCCGAGCTGACCGAGCCACACGGAGAGACCAAGCGGTGGGATGCTGCGGGTCATGGCACCGGCAGACCAGCCGCGGCATGCTGCGGCAGACCACCCGGAGGTCGTGTCGCTACATGGTGGACTGGTCGGGCTCGAGGTTTTGACCCATCCCCATTATACATCATAATTGATTCATACTTTGATTCATTACACCCTGAAAGAGACCCACATGGAACCTAAAGACATCTGAAAACCACGTCGGGTTGTAGATTTAAGTCTTGCTTGCAGGTCCCTGCCATCAGGTTCCATCTGCATCTTCCCGGGCGTGCATTGGCTCAATTGTGGGGACTCTGAAAAGAAACAAACCGTGTGCCTTGGCTGTTCCTGCGGATGGGGCGGCGCCAGCCTATCACATCATCTGCACATTGCACAGTTCATTCCAATGACTCTTTAGCAGGGCCCCCCCAAGGAGTGATTAATGGACATCCCTTAACTTCTAAAGAGCTATAGTTGGACACTCCCTAGGGGGTCCTGGTACACATTGGACATTTCCCTTCACCGACCAAGCACTTCTTTCACGTTCCGACTTCACCGGTGACG